GGTAAAGGTGCGGAGCTGTTTGCACGCAGACAGAGTCGCATGGACCGCTACGTGGTGGATAAACAGCCCAAATCTCCAGCGCATCCTCGTGATCCTTCTCCTACACCGTCCCTCCCAGCTCATTGGAAATACTCTCCAAACATCCGAGCCCCACCACCCATTAATTATAATCCACTGCTGTCACCTTCGTGTCCTCCAGTGGCCCAGCGTGGCACCAAGGCTAAAGTTGGGGCTAAAACAGTGCCTGGCCAACACAAACAAGGTATAAAGGCTCTTGACTTTGTGAGCAGGCAGCCATACCAGCTCAACTCATCTTTGTTCAGTTATGGAGGTGGAGTCCCTCAAAACACTGCCACTTATCAGCAGCAGCAGAATGGTGTTGGCATGACAGGTAATTCCCTTAATGCACCGAAGCAGGTCCCTGTTAAAGCAAGCCGCGTGTATGAAATCAAACGTTTCTCAACACCTACTCCCATGTCTGCACCCACATCTCTGACACCTACTGTAATCGCCCCCCGTTCTGCCACAACTCTCGGTGAGCCGATGTGGCACAGTAATGTCACTTCCCCGCCTCCTGTTGCTCCGAGATCTGCAGCACCATTCTCGCCACCACCTCCTGCCCCGACAGCAACCCTGCCTGCTCTCCCCAAAATATCCACTGCCCCTGTGTCCAATTCAGTGCACATCCCACAACCCACTCCTGGGCAGGCCTACACCCCATTCCAAGCAGCCAAGCAGTTTAAGAGCGCCCCTGAGCTGAGTCCCCTGTCTGCTTGTGTGCAATCCTCAGGGTCTGGGAGCAGCCAGAACCTACGGGTACCCAGACCCCGCTTCAGTACATCAAGCATGGGTCTGCAACCAAATGTGTGGAGGCCTGGCTCCATACATTACTGAGAGTCCACTGACAGTAATTACCACCCTGGGCAAGAGCACAAGAGTGCTCGAGCTCTCTTCTGCTAAATGAATTGTTAGTCTACAGTAATATGACAAAAAACATCAGTCAAAGATGTATTTTTTTGCATGTTCATAATTTTCAGTCACTTCATACAAGTACACAAATATTTTAAAATAGAGTATGCATATATCTGTATATGTATTATTCAGTTTCATCAGAATGTTGAGATATTTATGTACTATCCACACAACTTTGATTCATGTTTCTACTTCAGTTCTCATCCCATTTATTTTACACCAAATGAACATGTTTAACCCACAGACAGAATTGCAAAGTCACTACTTGTGAGAGCAACTAAATCAAATAATGGCATTCGTGTCTAATAATAATCAGTTTTGACATTATGTACTGGGGCCACAAGGAAGATACGTGATCATAATCGATTGTGTTGCTATTTTTTTCACTTGGGGCCATAAGGATGGAGTGATAAAGGGTAAGTAAACTATATATATATATATATATTACAGCTGTGACAGAAGATAATGGAGCACAGAATCATTGAATATTTGTGTAAAAGTGGTATAGAATGTTCTAAGACATGTATTTGCTGAGTTCTATCAAAGTCTCAGTGACAGAGAGATGAAAGAAGTGTACAAAGAATGTGACAGTGGCCTGAAATGAAAAAAATCCTCAAGTGGAGAGATGGTACAAACCACCCCCTTGCTCTACTCTTGCTCTTCAATTGTTATATATTCTGGCCTCTGCCATGCCCTTTACTTGTGATGTTATCCATCCTTTATCTCTCTAAACATCTCTTGAGTTTGGACTGCAGGCCTGTGTTTGTCTGGAGCATTGCACAAAAGCCTTTGCTTCTTGTTTGACGAGGATCAGTATGGATGCTTGATGCATGTGCTCATTTTATCCTCCTAATGCTGCGCATGCCAAGGTTTTGACTGAGCATTTAGAAAGGCATGTGAACTCCACTGCGGGGAATTGTGCTGGGGCTTTTTCATATGACAGCTGAAAAAATACACTAGATGACAAATTCTGAAAGCGCTGCTTTATCTTTATGACATATTATGCAAATGTGACATCTGACCACTTTCCCTGGTGCTTGCTCTCATTGTGAATGATGCTTTTGCCAAACAGGTATGACATTCATTTCAATAACTTGTGTGAGCTGTTCAACTGCATTTGTGAAATTGTACATGCCTAGTTGAACTACCCAATGGCCTTGGTGGGATGAAACAACATGAAATGGTGTGTACCATTTCTCTACTAAGGATAAGAAGGTTGATCGGATGTAAAGCTATAATGTACCTTGTTGTTAAGTAGAAAGTGGGAGGTATGGATATGGGAGGTATGAAGCAAGATATAAAACTGATATAAAATTTAAAAGCAAGAATAGAGAGGAAATTGCCTTTTTCACTTTTTTCAATTAGATAGTGTTATACACTAAAATATAAATTTTCATAAGTGTACTAATCGGACTGTCAGAATGTATGTCATGCTTCTAACATATCATATTTAAAGCTTTTTTTCTTTATTAAATGTGTTGTGTTTGCGTAAATAAAATTTAAAAGCAAGAATAGAGAGGAAATTGCCTTTTTCACTTTTTTCAATTAGATAGTGTTATACACTAAAATATAAATTTTCATAAGTGTGTACTAATCGGACTGTCAGAATGTATGTCATGCTTCTAACATAGCATTTTTAAAGCTTTAATTCTTTATTAAATGTGTTGTGTTTGCGTAAAATATTCTGAAAACATTGTAATTATATTCAAACAATCACAGTTAGTTCTTTGGGTTATTTGAAGTTTAAAGTGGAAATATATTTACAATGCAAATATTTGAATGTGAGAAAATGGAAAGTAATGGATTACTGGATTCTTGGGTTCAGGGACTGGGAATATGTATACGAATTTGTACTGTATGAGTTAATGTAGAGCAATTAAAATAAATTTAGAAATGACAGCTGCTGATGTTTGGATTTTATTTTCTCTTTTGTTGCGGTGATTTCGTAGCTCTCAGGTATAGGCTAGAATAATCTACTGATATATATATATATATATATAACGACCATCATATAATGGCCATGCTCACTGTTTTAGAGCAGATAGTTCCACATAAAATAATGTATTTAGTTTCTTCTATGCTGAAGGATCTGCAGTAAGCGCTGAGTGGCGCTGTTGGTCGATATTAAAAATGAAGTAGTTCGAGTTCACCCCACTGAATGAAACTAGGCTTGTTTTAAATTATACAATTTTCCAAAAAGTGCGCAGAGTAAGTAATACTTTTATGTTTATCGTGTATAAATATACATAAAACTTTGTTATGTATATTTATCATGTAAAATGAATCGTATTTTTATGCCTATATTCAAGAGGTGGGTTCTTGGAGGTAGGATTGTTGTGGACAACTTTACACGGATTAGCTTTGGCAGTGTAATCTTACCTCCACTCATGGTGAACTGCCTTCTGACCCTCTGGTCTATAGCCTACCCCACGATCATATGTCACAAGATATCAGGTGCTAACTTTAGCTACAAGTCTGTGTTTCAGTCCTTTTCATTCTTTCACCTTTCAGACGCCCTGCTGGTGATGGCCAGTACTGCATGTGCTCCTCTCAGCGTCTCTGTCCCGTTTGACTAAATACAAGAAAGAAAACACATGGAGATGCATTTCCTGAAACAGTGATTTGTGATATGTTGCACCAAGTAAGTTCTGTTGTCACGCTCTTCTTTAAAAGAGGTACACTGCCTTATTTTCTGGTTGGCATGGAGAGGAGTCAGTGTGTAAGACTGACTGGAACTCTCTCTGCTTGCCATATTAAAGTTTACTGTTCAGACTCTAAATTTGTGAAGTGTAAACTGTAAATAATCTCGACTCATCTTCAGGTGCAATATGTCTTAATTCTGGATATCTGTCATATACACTATTGTCTGAGTGTGCTTCTCAAAGTGGGAACCCAGAAAAAGAAATAGAGTATATCAGCACAATGTCAACAATACCATTATGAATATAGAATAAAAGGGTATGATTTTAAGCATTATTCCAACTGAAAAACAAAAACAAATAGTGTAAACAATACTACACTATAGATGTATGCAATATACACAATATTACAATAAAAGTACTAAATTGGTAATGGTAAATATTGTTGACAAAGTAAACATTATATGCAGGGCCGTCCTTAGCTAATGCGGGGCTCGGTGCAAGGTAGGGAGTGTGGCCCCCCTCAGTCCGTTCGCTGTGGGGTCCCCTCAAGCGCCTGGCCCGGTGCGACCGCACCAGATGCACCTCCCTAAGGACGACCCTAATTATATGTGACCCTGGACCACAAAACCAGTCATAAGGGTACATTTTTTGAAATTGAGATTTATACATCATCTGAAAGCTGAATAAATAAGCTTTCCATTGATGTAGGACAATATTTGGCTGAGATACAACTATTTGAAAATCTAGAATCTGAGGGTGCAAAAAAAATCTAAATATTGAGAAAATCGCCTTTAAAGTTGTTCAAATTAAGTCCTTTGCAGTGCATATTACTAATCAAAAATTACATTTTCATATACTGTATTTACGGTAGAAAATTTACAAAATATCTTCATGGAACATGATCTTCACTTAATATCCTAATGATTTTTGGCATAAAATAAAAATCAATAATTTTGACCCATACAATGTATTGTTGGCTATTGCTACAAATATACCCGTGCTACTTATGACTGGTTTTGTGCTCCAGGGTCACAAATGAGTGGCTGCAATGTTAATGAAATATTGCATTCATAACTAGAACACTATTTACGCCAATTTGCATAAGCTTCAAAGTTAGATGCAAAGAAGTTGCCCAAATGTTTTAAAAATAAGTTGAAAGTGCAATGTTCAAGAATCATGTTTATGAACTACATTCAATATTCAGTTAAAAAATGGCAATACACAATCTCAAAAAGTAAGTGACTGAAATAAGAATAGGAACTTAATTCATATTTTTTCAGGTCCTCTCTGGAAACATCTTGCTCTTCGTTGCTCTATATTTAGACCAAAAAGTATCTGCAAGAAAAGTATCTCCTTGCCATCAGCTCGGTCTGTCCCTGAGCTGTCTGTAACACACTGAACTACACCCACTCCCCGCTCCCCAAAGACCTCCTGTCCCAAACGCTGCTAGGATTTCACTCTTCCTGGGATGTAGAAGAGAGCAGTAGTTGGTGGAATCCTAGCCAACCCTAAGAAACAGGATTAACCTCAACAGTTCTCCTGGGAACCTTTGATTCAAACTGTGATTTGATTTGTTTTCTGAAACATTGATTCTTTGGTCACAGGTAAGAGGAATCATTGTGCTGTTTGGCTGTCCTGATTGCACAGGGAGAAATGCAGGTGATAAAATGTTATAATGAGCTCTTAATCTGGACAGGCTGGTATTGAGGGGTTAGAGTATGTTAAGATGATTTATTGTTTGCAAACTGTAAAAATATATGTTGTTCTTGGATAGAGCCGCAGCTAGCTGCATATCATAAATCACACAGATCTAATAAACACTGACATTGCGCTGGATCTTCTTCACATAAACATATAAAAATGCTAAACTAATTATACAGAAACACACATAAAAATAAATAACATTCACATTTTCCTATTTAAATGTATGTATGTCATTGTTAATGATTTAAATGTGAGGTCCTTATGGAATTATTATTATTTATTTATTTATTTTTGGAAGTTCAAATGCAGAAATGTTTTCTCACAGCTCCTCAGAAATGTGTTTAATATGGTGTTCAAACTACTTAAGGCTTACCATTGCAACGCTTCAGCAGGACATTTGAGGAATTTGCTGACCAGTTGAACACGGTGGGTGTGCTAAAACAAAAATACCCCTCTTCGCAACAAGAGACCGGTGTCTGTATTGGAATTTAAAGTTTTACCAATTGACCGTAATTTAAAAATACGTTACATGTTGTTAATATTATCAGAATTAACTGGACACTTTAAATATTCAGGCAAAAACAGTCATCAGGAATAGAAAGCCATACTAGAAAAATACAAAGCTAACTGTTGTTGTATATGTCTTCCTAGTTTTACTTCATCTAAATAATTAAAAATTAAAAAAAATTTAAAATGAAAAAAAATTAAAAATAAAATAACACAAAATAAAAAATAGCAAACCTAAACATTGGAGAATTTTCTTTCTTTCTTTCTTTCTTTCTTTCTTTCTTTTTTTTGGTAAGTTTATTTTAAAGCAAAAAAGGTAAAGTGAGACTCCTGGGGTAAAATAAACCCCTCAGAATTGGTGCAGAAGACCCCTTGTGGCACGTTGTTGGCTGGTCTTTTTAATAATTTAATGTAATAAACATTTGAATTCATTGAGAAATAGTGTTCTTAATTTGATAAATTATTAAAAATGATAAGATTGTTACAATTTTTACAGAATATTAAAAATGATATCGGATGCATTTCATATATTCTAGGCTAGTTTTACCCTTTTATTTTATCATTCTGATTTTCTTTAATATTATTTTGGATGATGCATGATCATGTAAAACTCACACCTACATATATTACAATTTGTCAGTAAATGCACCTGGCATTTTCCCCCATCTTCCCCAACCAGTTTATTTCAGATTTAATTTCCTCCCTCAGATTGCAGCCATGCCTGTCTCTGGAACACCTGCTCCAACCAACAAGAGGAAGAAGCCTTCAAAAATCATCACAGACTTCTCAAACATCTCACAACATGGTCAGTGGTGTCTCTTTGTGTCACACATACACATTTGTAGTGAAAATACACGCACCATGGACATAATACTGGATGAACGCTCACTTGTGATATTCTGTGATGACCAGATGAGTGTTGTAAATGTCACACGTAATTACCAAAGCCCTCACTAGTGGCCGGTGTCAACATAAAGAGCCAGAGCCAGAAATGCCAAACAACCTCCAGGCTCTCGATAACTTTCTCAAAGTGTAAATCCCCACTGAGGAACATTTAATTGATTGGTACTGTATGCTGAAGCAGAGGCTCAAAAAGAAAGAATATACACACTCTGCATAAGCACATATTGCAAACGACGTTAAAATGAGTGTCTGGGTCTCAGCTTCTAAGAATAGTCACAGTTTGAATAGTTTTTTAATGCATTGTCATTAGATTCAGAGAAATGTCACATTTGAACTAGACCAGCATGTTATAATGTTCTTGTTTGTGTCGGAGTCATGGGCTATCAATGCCCACAGTTTGAGGAGCTGTTGCAATGCAATTACTCATCCCAGCTTTGATACCTCGGTCATATGAAGACCAGTGTAATGAGCGGTTAGTCTATGCAGTATGAAGCTGGCCAATTATTCTGCTAAAGAGAGCAAAATCTCAAAGACATCGTCAAACTGTGTGACTTCTAATGAGCAGCTCAGTTATTAGGTGCCGTGTATTCATTTGTCTGTGTGTGAAGGCATGTTTAGTGTACTAGATTCTCCCACTTCATCTGCTTGGCAGTGTGCTCATAATGGGCAGTTTGTTTACAGAACAACATTCTTGCGGTTAGCGATTCAGAGCCAGATAAATTAACAGCAAAATTATTGCCAATATGAAGAGCTGTTCAGCAGAGATTAACTTCAAATAATTTCACTTCAGTCTGTTTCAGCAGATTGTCACGCATACACATATTGGGACAAATATACAGTGTTTTTCATAGTGTGTTTATGCAAACACTTAGTTCCAGTCTTCAAATTTGATTTGTATTGTTTGTATCACTCCACTCGACTAGACTAGACTGATTGTTCTTTTAGTGTTGGTGGATTTGCAGTGACAGCTTACATCGATACAAGTGAAAAGTTTCATGAGTGAGTCATTGAATCATTAATTGGACCGATTTAAAACACTTGTGACTCCCTGTGTCCATATATGCCTACATATCTACTATATAGTAGGCGAAAAAAAGTTTGTAGAAACAGTATTTTATAACAGATTTATATGCCGCATCTGAATATGCATACAAGAACAATGTGTAAAAAGAGTAGAATGTCTGAATTTGTAGTAAAAGGAAAAACCCAGATGGACATTTTACTATCCTATGATGCCAAAGGAGAAGAGTTGTGAATGGCAGTAAAGCAACACAACTGATACTGTAAGTCACATGACAATGTACATCCGTACATTTGGATCTCATTCATTCTATGTAGGGGTGGACGATATGACCAAAATCTTACAGTATATCACGATATGAGTCATTTTATTTCACGGTAATGATATATATCACAATATAGTTATTTTTGTTTTGAATAAGGTCTTTATGATATAAACATTTTTGATACGATAGAACTTTCATAATTATTGTGACCAGTGTCAATATCACAAAAAAACTAACTTAAAAAAAGAAAAACCAAGCTCACTGAAGACAAGTAAACAGTCAGCTATTAAATAAGATTAAGAAACTAATTACAAGCAATACGACAAAAAAACTACAAAGTAATCAAATGTATAAAAGCACTGCATATTCTTCACTGTGTAAATTAAATATATATTTCTTCTTACTTAAGTTACAAACAGTTTTCTCTTTTGTTGTTTGATTAGCATGAATGACACAAAGCAGGAATATTAGACTGCTGTCACTTTAAGAGCTGCCAGATCCAATATGCTGTTACACATGTTTTCTTTCTCAGCTGTTTGCTTTCACTTAAGACCTAAATTACTGTGTTTATGAGTATACTTGCAAAGATGGGCATTCTTCTGACACATACAAGTTTGTGTTTTTAACCATTCAAGGCATATAAAGAGGCAAAAATAACTCTGTTCAATACTTCTATGTTCTATAAGCACCATCTTCACATGCACGCACCTCTCTGACAGCGCTAAGAAACAGTCTCTCAGACAGTGCGCACATATAGCAAAATAAGTTCTCTTTCACAGCTGATTACATTTCAGTGGCTTAAAGTCACTTATTTTTAAACTGCATTGTTTAAAAACGCATGCAAACGATAGGTTTTCGTGACCACGTAGCACAGCAACGTCATGTGAGTGTGTAACTACAATAGAGACGATACCCTGTTGCATATGCATATGCTGGTTAGGTATGTTTTGAAGCATGGCTGCTGGTTTGAGCTGGTTTAAGCTAGTCCTTAGCTGGTCATGAGCTGGTTTAAGCTGGTCAAGTGCTGGTCATGTGCTTGTCCTAAGCTGGTCCTATGCTGTTTTTTTCAACAGGGTAGTCAAAAATCTTTACCAGTTGATATATTCTACTGGTCAATTGTGTCTACCGGTATATCGCCCACCCCTTATTCAATACTATTTATACTACATAGAATATACTTTTTAACGGTCACAAAGTAATTACTTATTCAAAAGTAATACCTTCTGAGATGCAGTCACTGTCTTTATGTGTGAGTCATTGAATCATTCATTTAACCATATTGTTTAACACCCATTCATTGATGATTGTGTTGCTCTGAGACACACAAGTTGATTTTTCTTTGACTCTAGTTGTTAATTTTTTCAATGGTGGAGCAAAAGTAAACAAAGTAACTAACAATAATGTGTCTAAACTGTAAGCTAGTCAATATTTAGTTTTTGATTATTGAACTATTCATTTGAAAACAACATTGCTGTTTGTCTGAATAATTACACAGCTGTTAAAAGCTTAACCATGGCCCTCAATTTGCTCTGTATAACTTATAAATAAGATTCAAAATCTCTGAATGTGCATACTGCTTTGTTCTTTATTTTTCACAATTCCCAAAGCTCACTCAAAAACACACACTCTCACACACATACTGCTGAAGCTGAGCCAAGGATCTGATTAACAAGGTAATGCAAGCAGTGCTCAGCACAGCATCCTTCTCTTTGGTGTCGGATGTGGCTTGACTCCAGGTTTAATAGCTGATATTAAAGTTGAGAAGGAATATAATTAAACTGAAAGAGTACAGGGCTTCTATATAGAATAGATAAGAACCCTTTTTCAAAAACAAAAAAAAGCTTCTTTAGACACTAGGAAATGTTTAGTGCTGTCAATTCTATTAATATTTCAAAGTCATTTTAACGATTGTGTGGATTCTGATTGAATTCTCCTTTTTCCTTCCCAACAACACTGATCTTGACCAGACCAGCAAGATGAGGATGCTGAAGCTGCTGAACTGGACTTGGGGACCAAAATCAAAGCCCCTAAAGATGTGATGTTGGAGGAGCTGTCCCTCATGAAGAACAAGGGCTCCAAAATGTTCAAGATGAGACAGCAGAGGGTGGAGAAATTCATCGTCAGTGATGAGAACCTGGTCAGCAAAAGAGGCATGAGAAAAGCAAAAGCTTTTATAGGAAATAGAGGTTTATAGTGTGATATCAGGATCCAACACGCAGCTAAAGGGTCTTCTAAAAAGCTGAAAGGATTTGTTTTGGAATAATGAACACCATTATACCTTATTGCATGGCTGCTTGTCATATAAATAAAAGAAGTAGTCATTTGAGTTGTGAGAAATTTTTGAGAGAATTGTTGAGAAGAAAGAGAATTCACATTTTCTCTAAATACTCTGCTAACTACATACAAGTTTAAACAATGTTAAACAAACAGAATGATCTTCTTTTTGTTTCTCATGCCTTTGTAGCTAAACCTTCAGAATCTGGCTCCTTCTCTGGGATGTGAAATGACTGCTCCACCTGAACCCTCTCCCAAACCAGAGCCACCTCAAGGTAAATCTCACCTTAGATGAGTTTATGCAATATTTACTACAGCATGGAAAGATTTTTGTTTTTCTGTTCTTCTATAGTAGAGGAAGTAAATGCTGAGGCAGAGAAGGAAAAGAGACGTCGTGAGTATGTAAAAACATATGTATCACCATGGGAACGTGCTATGAAAGATGATGAGGAACTTAAAGAAACCATGAAGTTGAAAATGCCAGGGCCTCAAGTTCACAAGGAACTTCCCAAGTACAAGAGTTTCAACAAGTACTAATATCATTTTTTCAAAATCCCAACTTATGAGCCAAAAAATTCAATATTGAAACAGTTGCTCTTTACCTGATCATCTTCTTGTTCTTTATATCCAAAAGAACTGCTCTACCCTTTGGAGGATTTGAGAAGGCCTCTCGTCTTGTCACCTTTGAGCAACCAGAGATCAAGGTAACTGATGAGGAGCCACAGCCAGTGTCTGTGTTGCAGTATAACATTTGCTGTCGGCCTTCTTTCAATCGCACTCCGATCGGTTGGATGTGCAATGAGGAGCACAGCCACATCCACATGGAGCTGGAAAACATCCCCTTTGATGGAGAGACTGATGACCTCTAAGAAACCTGCCCATCATATGTAAACAACACAGAAATGTATAAATATATACAAAAAACAACATACATATTCTAACATGAAGGCCAAGTACACATGCGTAAGCACATACACAGACCAGCAAACAGGGACCTTATGCACTCACCCCCAAAAACAATGACTGATTCATATTTGCAAGAGAATGGAATCATCTTTGCCCTTTCTCCCATTGTTTTGTGTGCTGTTTTCTTTGGAAACCCATCACTGCATGTTGTGATTAGCTAGTTCATATGTTACCAGACACATTATGCCTAATTGACTGCACTGGTATTTATGATAGACATATACACACAAACTAAATAATAGGCAAAAATGATCAAGCACTAAAAATAAACATTTATCCCTAAACAGAATATGGTCTGGTTTCTTATATAAGGAAGCAAAATCTGTCTGTGTATGTATGCTACTAATAACATTTTTCATCTTTGTTCAGCAGCTGGTCCTTACATTCTTAAGAACTGGATTTTTCCACAAATAGACTTTAAATGATGTTACATTACTCAAAAATAAACAAATGCATAAAAAATACATTTATATTAAATAACTTTTTGCTAAAATTACCTAAGCATGAAAAGTTAGCCTAATTTAATTTAAACTGAAAGGTTGTGATGTTTGCTTGTGCTACCATTTAGGTCTTTCTTTCTCCTTTTCTACTGTATTTAACATTTAAAATCATATAATAATAAATGAGTGATAGCTTTAATAGGCTAAATGTGCAACAGTTGTTTGGAATGACAACAATAATTGTATTTAATAATAAAACAGAAGATATATCGTTTAACTTTATTGTATGTTTAACCTGTCCAGAGGTGGACAAATGTCTTTTTTCTCAACGTTAAGCACGTCCTTCGACTGATACTTTGCTGAAAATGTACAAAATGTACTTAGTTTTTAAAGTTTTTAAAGACCTACATCTACTCAGTTCATGGAAAGTGCCAGTTATAGACCATCAGCCCCTCTTTTGTTTGCTTTTTGTGTGATTATGACACAATGTTAGACTGCGAACACGCTCAAATGCTTTATTCAGAATTCACGCCTCCCTACACAAAACCAAAACCAAAACCGGTTACGTAATGGCATTCTGACGTACAGTACCAACTAGCTCCAGCAGATGGTAGCAAATTGGTCTGAAGGGAAACCCGTTATCGCGAGATCTGCATATGTAGAGAACCTCGTTATCGCGAGATCTTCTTGAATTGGCTGCGGCGCTGGATGGCGCTGGTGGAAATTTTGGGAATGCGCGGTCAAGATTTCTCCCGGGTTGAGTTGAGCTCGGACAGGACGCGAGATTGACTGCATCTGCGTGCGAACAGTAAGGTGAGTGAGTACTCTTTAAACTTAATTAACGGTGCTCTCCAAGAGCAAAATAGGATATATGTGCAAATCCGAACATGTAAACATCTATTCTGTATAAGTGTAACTTGATGAATTCCAGCAAGCTTGCATTCCAGATGTGTAATGTGATGGGGGAAAAGGCTTAACATAAGCGCGTGCGTCTCACTGTCTTAAGTCAAGGATGCTCTGAACTGGGACCATCCAGAACATTATGTCCATTTTCAGGTATATTTTTAAATAACGTTGCATTTGGGGTGGTCATACTCGGCATCTTCAATCTGCAGAATCATTATTTCAGACTGGCGGTGCACATGTAATACTTAATGTGACAGTTCTGTTGAGTAATTAATGCATGATGTTAAAGTTCAAATTTGAGCTTTTTATTGCTATTTTAAGCTTTTTGTCTTTTGATATGGTCACATGCATCATATGTGTTGATAGATCTCAAATTATATTCTGCAGTTTTCATTGACTCACTGAAGTGGACAGCACGTGGTCGATATTGATTTAGTTTTGTGGTTGCATTTAAGTCATTAAAAGGACAGTTAATCTAAAATTGAAAATTCTGTCATCAGTGATTCATGAACCCTCACGTTGCTTCAAACTCCTGTGACTTTCTTTCTTCTGTGGAACACAAAGGGAGACGTTCGGCAGAATGACAGTATGTATGGAAAAAGATTAAATGAGAGTGAATGTCGACATCTTCTTTTGTTTCCACAGAAGAATAAAAGTCAAACGGGTTTGGAACAACATGAGTAAATAATGAAAGAATTGTCATTTTTGAGTGAACTATCCCTTTAAATTCATTTTTTTTCTTTTAATGCTATCCTGGCTTAACTGTATAAATCTTGTGAGATTATGAAATTTCAGTGACTGTTATTTTGTAAACGATCATTTAATGTAATTAAGTATTCTAAATCCCTTCTCATCATAACATGCCTATTATCAGAGAACTTTTGGGTTCAGTGCAGGGTCGATTTACTGTAATTTAGACAAAATGCTGTAAAATTTGATTGTTGTTTTTGTGTTTATATATGTGAAGCACATTGGTTGGTTTTGTAATGTTGCATGCAACATACAGTATGAGCTGTGAGATCAGTCTGATTTCAGATTTGATTGTAATTACATATACTATTTTAAAATGGTTAAACTCCACTAATGCTGAATGATAATCATTTCAAATCCAGTTCCTTTAATTTCTATTTGATTGGCAGTTACCCATTTTAAACGTGTATAATTTTGTCTATGACGGCTGTCACTGAGAAGAGCTGCTCAGGCCCATTAGGGGGCCCCTGTGCTTTTATGCACTACATGAGTGGCCCTCATGGGGGTCATCAGTCAACAGGCACTCCGCACTCCACAGAGAGAAGTGCGTGTGTGGCGTGTTGGTAAAAGCTGGGGAAAATGAAATGAGGGGCTCTCTGTGGTGGTGTAACCTTTCTGACTGATTTCATCATGCGGCTCAGGTTGTTCTTACACAACGTGTTTGTAAAGCTGTTTTAAACCTCCTCTCCGAGAACGTCACTCTGAGCTTTTACAGCTGGGGGCGGGGGTTTGGAAAAGATTGGATTTTTATCAGCTTGTGCGATTATATTTTTCTCTGGGGCTGAGTAGAAATGCTGGGTGGGGTTTGGTTTGGTTGTTAATGGGGAGAAGTGAGCAGGTTGGCCATAGAGCCGCTTTTAGATTGCTCTCACGAATCATGATTGTACATGATTGTATGCTGCTTCTGTACGAAAGAGACCAGTAGAACAGTGCAGCACGTTTATCAAACTGTGATGCCCTAAAATTGATCTCATAGTACTTCAGAAAATCAATTGTTAGATAAAACTGAATACGTATTTCTATAGAAATGCTGTCTTGTGTTCTTAAGGTAATTGCACACGGAATCCAAAATTCTTGTCTGAAAATTTAGCATGTCAAAAAATAAATACGATGTCGTTGTGTCAATCAAGTTTACACATTGACTCCAAAACTTTCGTCTGTCATAAAAAAAATCGGACCAGGTTCGTTTTTCTGCGTTTTCGCATCCGTACCAAGCATTTTGATAGGAAAGAATGACGAATAGGAGAAAAATGGAAAAACGCATACGAAAATTTCGGACTAAGTGTGCAAGGACCTTTAGTCATGTTTCTTGGTTTAAGTGTTTTGACCTAATGTCCGAAACTTATTAGAGGAAACATTTAAAGAATAATTTAAAATAGCATGCATTATATAAGAAAGTTATACTGCATATATATATACAGTGGTGTGAAAAAGTGTTGGCCCCCTTCCTGATTTCTTATTTTTTTGCATGTTTGTCACACTTTAATGTTTCAGATTATATATATATATATATATATATATATAGAATTAGAAAAAAAAACATTTATTTATGTTTAATAATAAAACAAATAATATTATAATAATATAAATATTATGTAAATGATTACATAATAAAGTACATAAAGTAACAGTTGTGCAATGCTACTTGTGAATGCACCTTTGAAGTTTAGTCTGATTTTTGTTGCTTTTTGTTTGTAGATTTGACACATTGATTAACAAGACAAATTAAAAATGGAACTTAATTTCAAGAGGGTTATCAACCCCTGACATAATAGTTGGATGTTTTGAGGCTAGATGAGGCTGCAGTAGAGGTAATTAATTTCAGGAGATGCATCATCTGAATTTCTCCAGGCAGTTGTAACAAAACACAATTTACATGCATGCCATTCTCATACCCTTTTTTCATGTGGCATATACTCTGTGTCAAAGCGAGAAAAACAGCACTAAATCTAGACAAAGCTGGAGATGAGATAGTGAAAGTGAGACAGTGACACAGCGTCTTGAGTGCTATATCTTTCTGTTTTATTTTTCCTCTGCTCGTCCTTGACAGCTTGCATTCTGTCTACCCTTGTCTACTAATGACACATTGTTGCATGATGCAGTTAAATACAAAGTAGTGCTGGGTACTGTCAATTATTTTATAGGCAGGATTTTTCATGGGTCAGAAATGGTCTTTGTTGTAGCCGATGACACAGAGGTGGTTGATTACATATTTTAAGTTAAGTAGTTATTAACAGAATTACTTATTTTTACGTACAGTATATATGGGATTTTTCTTTTGATTGTCTAAGTTTCTGGAGTCTAGTGAATTTGACTGAATTTTAAACTTCAAAGTAGTGTTGTCATGGTACCAAACTTTCTGTATTTGGTACCAATTCCAGTGAAAATCCACAGTTCTCGGTACCAAATTCGGTACCAAAGCAAAACACAAAAACATACTAATTAAAAAACACATTATTTTTATTAATAAAGTCATTTACGTTTACACTGCCTTCAATTAAAAATAGAAAACATTTTATGCGTTTTGGCCGTTTATTTACATGTCAACAGCGTTTCGGGCCCTTAAAATGCAAGCAGCTTAAGTAAAGCAATGGGCTGAGTCTAACCAAATGCAACATTAGATCATTGACACCAGCTATAATATAACTTTTTAGTAAATAACAAACCTCACCTTTTATAATAAATTGAGATAAGATCACATATTTTAAGTCAAGTGTATATCAAATAGATGGAAACTGTAGTATTAAAAACACTTTACAATAAGATTTTATTTGTTAGATAATTAATGTTGTAAAAATATATTGTTCACTCACTGTAAGTTGATGTAGGAGATAAAATTTGACTGTACTTTCATTTAATCAAAACTGTGTATAAACTGTGTGACGTCACACAGACAGGCATCTGAGATCGGCTCGATTTGAGAAAGGGGAAAACATTTAACCAGATTAAAAAAAAACACTGGGTGGATTTTTAGCATTATAGAGTGGTTGTGTACACACACTGCCAACACACATTTCAGTTCAAACAACTTGTTAAAGTGCATGTAGCATCCTATGACCCCTTTAATAAAGAAACTTCATTCTAATACTCATTATATTAGCGTTATCCGCGCTTATGCTAACTACGCAAACGGACATTCAAATTAAAATATGGAATAATATTCATTAAC